CCTTCTAAGCACTACAGAGACTAATTCTGAGGTGGTTTTGTACTGACCAAAGAGGTTGCCAGGAGCTCTGATCCACCTGGTTCAGCAGCGTAGGCACTCTCCAACATCAGCAACGATTAAAAACATCCGGACTACTTAAAATAAATGAGAGTCACAAGATAGCTAAAATTACCAAATGCATACTGGCTCCCTGGGCCTCTGCAACTTCTCTCCTTTGAGGCTATACACAAGAACAAAGGCTGTTAGCTAAGGATGAGTCCCTATTTTTAGAGCCCATTTCTTGGAACACCTAACTTCCATGGTCTCCTCCTCTCCTGTTTGCAGCAGTGCAGACCACAATCCCGCTCCCCGCCATCACCACACATCCATGGTGGCCCAACACCTCTAAGGCCATCGCAGCAAATGCTTACACAAAAAAAGTGTTATTGGAAAAGTATTCTTAGCTACCATTAATTCTGCTCAGCAAGTGGAAACAGGTGAGAGAGCCAACTCTATCTGATCACCCAGCTCTTCTCGGACCACAAGCAAGTGTTCTGGGAACCACCAGTGGCCCACAGACCACAGCTTGGGAATCACTGTCCTAAATAACTCACAACCCTCTTATTATAGCACACCATGCTCCTTGTCTTTCTCAGGCTACTATTTTAGGGTTTTTTTCCTACCAGCACAGCATAACATGATGGAAGAAACTTACGGCTCGTATCTGCTTATCATGCCCACGCTTCTATCTGTCATTTGGGGACAACTATCTAGCAATCAACAAGATGATTAACTTGCTGAAAGTTTTACCCAAATGATTTCAGATTTGGTTTGGGGTTGGTTTTTTTTTGTTGGGTTTTTTTTTTGGTTTGGGTTTTTTTGTGGATTTATATCACTTCAGCTAGAGGGGGAATCTCACTCAGTCAATTCTGCAGTTCCATTAGAAGTCAAAGGGCTGGAAAGGTAAACTCCCTTCAGATGAACTGTAACTACAGCTAAGCATATCTCAAATTTAAGCTGCAGACGGCTTCCAAACTTTCCTGTAAAACTAGAATTGTATTTTTTTTTATACAAAACTTTATTTCACTTCAAAACTTCATACTAATGGTACATTAACATTTTGGGATCATATAATCAATGTCTTCATGGATAATTTATTATCCTTGCACCACTTCTGTGCTTTTTTCCATATTGCTCCTTGGGATTATAATTCAGTTTTGAAAGGTCTGAAGGCCCTACTCTCCTTGCATAAAGAAAAAGCAATGGAACGCTTTTGTTGAACTATAAATCAATCCTGACCTACCTCTTTTTATCATGGAAAATGAACTAAGGATAGTTTAACAGATTTTAAGGACACACTATTATCTTCTACAGTCCATGGGACATAAAGGATCCAACTAGAATTTTATCTTGTAACTTGGCTATTGAGAACATCACTCAAACTTCCCTGTCATTGAGCAGCTACCTAGTATTGACTGAGAAACAAAACAACAGCAAATTCACTAGACAATCTGTTCCAAAGGATAAACACACCTTGCTAAAACAATAAAAAGTATTTGGATTGTGATTGTGCACAGCTCAATAATAATCTGTACAGTTCAGAAAGTTATAGAGATTTATCTTTAATAGAATTTATCATGAAACCAAATATTGTATCATTAAGACATGACTGATGACCAGCCATTTGTTAGGCATATAATATTTTAATGCATCAATCAAGATATGAATCACACTGTTTCATATAGCACTTGGCATACACAGAGTATTACTAAAAAATCAATAAATATTTAATTCTGATTTCTTTTTTTCTTTTCTTCCCAATCTTACTTTGCTACAAAGAAAAGTATCTTAGTGGTCCTGAGGAGAAAACAAAACCAAACCCGTGTTCTACTATTCTTATTTCTGTCTGAGATGATGTATTTCTTACTTCTTATCAAACCACAACAGATGTCCACAGAATTAGACCATTTTAAGGCATGGCTATGTTGTACAACTGCTGTCTATACAGCTTTTACTGGCAAAAGCCAACCAGGGTGCTAAAAAAGGGAGCTGAGGGATGTGTTAAAAGGACTGAGGATAAAGGGTTTCCTATCTAATCTCCCCAGTACTAGTGTTTGGGAAGAAGCTTCCATTTCGAGAACAAGGGCATTGAGACATAACGTACTTCTAACACATTCAAATAGGAAACAATAAATTCCACTTTAAATAAACCCTCACAACATCATAATAAGTTATTTGGTTACATGTAGGAAACTATCTATCAGATCAGAAATCTCAAAAGAAGTGTAATTCTTCAATGGAGTAACAGTTTAAAAGAACCTCCAGAACTTAAAAGAATAAATCAACTATGGGTATACCTGCCTATTATTTTTACTTTTAAAGAAAAAATTGCCATATCTTAATTACGTATTGTTTGTATAGATTTTTCCTTTCTTATGAACGTGTCTTTATAAGGTAGAAATTAACCAAATGATGTGCGAATATGTGCATCTTAAAAGACTTACAATACAACTGTAATATATTCAGCACGGTAAACTGTCAGAGTAAGTAAGTAGGCAGGGGTTTGGTATTATAAAAGAACCTGTTTGTAGGCAGCATCAGTTCAAGATGCATGAACACCTTAATCATTAGGAGAACTACGAGTCAAAGTCTCAGTATCAGGCACTGAAAAGAAAAAAGCCAACACTTATAAGATTATATGAATATTTTAAAAGCATAGATATATTATGGCACTTTTAAACAAAATAACCAAGAGCTAGAAATCTACTCTCCTTTTTGTAATTTTGCATACTCCTGAGGACTGATGTTGGACTGTCTCACAGTCACAACAGTGTTGAAAACAACTGCTGTTGTAAAAGCTGAGGAGAAGGATAATGAAGTTGAAATTGAAGCATAACTTTTTTATCGCATTCACTGAGTAAAAATAAGTTTTGAATCTTTTTGCACAGTGGATTGATTGCTAGGGAGAGAATTACAGCAATGAAATGTTCAATGAGATGTTGTGTGTCTCTGCAGAGCACAGTTTTCTAGAGCTCTCTCAATAGAAGGATATCAAACAGAAGTAAAAACAAAGGGTGTAGCTTTGTTGGGTTCTCAGATCAGTATATGACTTGCCTCCAGTAAATTAGGAAGCATTCTGTGATTGATGGCTGCTGTTGGAAAACTTGTTTTAGTCTTTCTGAGAGTTTCAAAATCTATTTGATCTAAACATAACCAGGAATAGTATTCCAACGCAGTTTCTTTCATTTTAAACCCTCTAGCACTTTACAGGCAGCATCATTTATATGTTAAGTGTCCTATTTACATACTTGCACTCTCTAAATCAGTGGTCTCCGAATTGAGGTGCACGCACACTGGGGTCCAGGAAGAAAATACTAGAAATTCAGTAACACATGTATACAATTTATATTAATAATAAAAAAGATATATTGGGGGTGCATGCTGATACTTTTTTTACTGATAGGAATTTTTGGATAGGAGTGTTTGATCAAAAAAGCTTGTAGCCCACTGTTCTAAATTAATCAGTAAGAATTATTTATTGATAGGAGTGTTTGATCAAAAAAACTTGTAGCCCACTGTTCTAAATTAATCAGTATGAATTTGTCTTTTACAGTGGCTTCCCCGCCTTCCTTTTTTCATTTGCTGGACTCCAACCAGAAAAACATCAAGAATCAATGATGTCAAAGACTTAACTGTTGTCTTCGGCAATTTATGCACTCACCATTCTTATTGAGAAATACTGAACTCAGAGGATTTGCAGCAGGCAATTTCAAATGAAGAATTATGAAATGCTCATCAGAAGCACAAAAGAATGCATGGAGTTTTAACAATAACAGTTCCATGTCTAGTTCTTTGCGAAAATATTCCTGGTTTCTAGTTTTGTGTGGCATATTAATAACTGACATGGTTTTCATAATGCCATGTAGTGGTCCTTGACACAGAACTTTGCCGTAGAAATCCAGAACCTAGAAGGCAACGAAGAGGTGCAGAGAACAGAATTATCTGTCCCTATGCATATGCTTCTGTTGGTCCTCGGAGTTCTGGGGTTTTTTTGCTATAATGCCACAAAATATCAACTAAAAACTCCTATGGGATGCATGCTTCGGAGTTCTGGTTTTTTTTTGCTATAATGCCACAAAATATCAACTAAAAACTCCTATGGGATGCAAGAGCAAGAGCAGAACATCAGCAATGAGCCCATGACTCCCTAATTCCTTTCAGTCAGTCACTGAATTGACACTTGAACACAATTAGTGGAAAAAATTTTACTAAGTTGAGATTAAATAAACCAATCAAACTGCTTAAAAGCTTGGGTGCAAAGGATAGTGAGGGAAAGTTATGCTAAACAGCTAAAACAGTTTCTTCTTCAAAATTTTCACATTGCTGAACCTTTTGATCCTATGGAATTGTACTGATTTACTGATACATCACTGCAGCTTGACCAAGTCCAGAAGTCTTCTGACACTAAGGACCTTTCAGGACAGGATTCACTGTTGGCTCCCCGACTTTGAGTCGACTGCCATGTCTTGCTGGTGAACTGTGTGTCAAAAAAATTTTGACAGATAAACAAGTACCTCGACCCTGCAAATGCCCCATACCCCTTTTCTCAGAAACATTTACTTGCTTCCTGGAAATTCATTAATTTAGTACAACTATTTTTAAATTTAGAAATAATTAAGTCTCTCAAGTACTCAATCTCTGAATTGGACATTTCATTAAACTACGTTGTTTTCTAATCTACTCTTCGCAACATGAACACATTCTAGACCTTCTTCTCTGTAACTTGTCTCTGAAGACTGCAATCAGCAAACTCTCCAATTCTCTTAATAGCGCCTATTTGACTGGCAAATCTAATTTACCTAAAAATACTCTTTTCCTCAGTAAGTTCTCATACAACTTTTCTGTGGAAATATAATGGAGACATTTAAAAACCATGTCATGCTGTTTCTAATAAGCACAAGTTCTGCTAGTAACATCAGTAGGGATACAAATATTTGTATGTACAAGTTATAGTTTTGTACCTTCTATCATTTCCATACCACTAGGAGGCTTACAATGTCCAGCATGGCTCACAACCCAAACGGGATACTGCTGATTGAGTCCACGATACAAGGCCTGTATAAAGGTCCTGTAATAACCTGCCAGTCCAGGGTTACCTGCCAAAAAACAAAACATACAACCACAGTCAATATTAACCCTTCAACAGCAAGCAATCTGATTCAAAGCAAACTAAACAGCATTACACAGAAAACTGTTCATTTATTTTCTCTAGTAGCTTTCCAATTTTTAGTTTCCCAATTTCAGGGGCTATGCTCTTGAACTGGCTTAATTCCATTGATCAATGGCACCCATTTCACAGAATTACTTTGAAATTGCAGAAGCTGAAATTGAAGCCCAACACAAGAGAAAAATTTCCTTTCCCTTAAAGGTTAAACAGGTTCCTAATCTATTCCATCAAGTTACAGGTACATGAAAACTGGGCAACTACAAAGAAACCCCAGATCTTATAAAAATATCACGAAGACTACAGTGTGTATCACTCAATCTATATGTCCTGCAGAATATGTCAGTGTTACCACTTCAAAATAGGTAATTGGTATCCTGACAATACAAAGGTCTTTACTGATCCTAAAAGAGAGAAGAATTTTATTTTAAACTCGTCAGACTAAATTATTTTTTTCTGCTTGCAACTTCATATTCTCTCTGCCCTCTTCCCCGCTTGAGAGGGCAGAGAAGTCAGAGCTGTAATCAAATTAATACTTGTAGAAACGGTGTGTGGAGCTAAAAAGTAGGTTTATTCCACTTCTGCCTTTTCTGTAGTGGGTATTTTCACGTTATTATCTTTTACTTCAACCCTTTTGCTCTTTAACACACAGAAAAGTTCACTGCTCTCCCAAGAAGCATTCCCTCTGTCCCATGCTTCCAAACACAGCCTCCTCGCTGCAGTGCAGCAGGCACCCACAGCTACACCAGTAGGAGCTGATGGCTTCTCACACCAGTGATGACACCTGGGCAGAGACCAGGAGCCTCTAGGTAACATATTGCATGTATTTCATTCCCCACTTACATGTAAAAAGTGCCTCCACTAAGTTTTAAACCTTAATAAAATTCCTGATCTTAAAACAATATTACTTTTTACTGAAGTACAGAGATTTGGAAAAGAAGAAGAAGAAAAAAAAAGAGAACAGCATTAGTTATTTCATGTTTCTAAGCATCTCTTTATAAGCTTGAGATTAAAGGTTGTTTTTTTTTTTAAATAAAAAGTTGTTGTATATACAGACTCAAGAATGCATCATCAAATTTTTGCAAACTGATTTTCAGAAAAAAAATTTGAAATTCACAGGGGTCACACATCCATACAACTGCACCCCAGCTGCATGTTTCAACCCCTCAGACACCCCTGATCTCATTTTCATACATCAAAAATATATCATATAGAGGGCCCCAGAGACAATAAAATAAAATACAGCCATCATCTGTCAAGCTCCTTGGATTGATTTTGCATAGAGGAAACCTGTCTTTCAGCAAGGTTGAAGATGAAAGTAGCAGCAATCCAAAATAAAGTGTATCATTTGTAGTACAAATGGTCATTCTGAGATCAAGGAGTCACTAAGTTAATCTCAAACCCAGGCTTTTTTCTTTATGTTTTTCTGAATATCAGTTTCAATTAATTTTCTTCTTTAAAGCGCAAAACGAGGAAAGGGGGGGAATGGCAACAGCTGCCTCCCACATTTTGGTGCTCCTTCCCCTCACCAGCCAGGTGAACCAGGATTTGGCCATCAGCTGAAGAGCAGAAAGAACTGCTTATGAACGGTGAGGCTTTGTATCAAATACTACACAAAGCCTGAGGCACTCTAATACATTTTTGAGGGAAAGATTATTTTTATCACGTGTATTTTAGGCAGGTAGAAGAGAAGATTCATAAATGAAAAGGAACCCCCCTTTCCCCACTCTTCATAGGCACCTGCTCAAGGTAGAAGCCAATCTGAGGGGTCAGCTGTTAGAACTGCTACTGCTACTTTAAAAGGCCTTGAAGGGGCATGAATGAGAACCACTGGCACAAATCAAGGAAAATCAAGAAAGATTTTAACAGCAAATATTTCTATAGAGAAATCACCATGTGTAAAGCAGCTATAAATTTATTCTTTATTGATCTTTCAATTTTAACGGAGCTATTCCAGATTTGCACTGACTTAAGTAAATGCCGGTTAATATTAGTCCCTGTTCTTGAAAGCTCACATCTACAATATTCATAAGCAGAGAATGTTTATCTCCTAATGTAGCTCAAACTCACATCTCCGCAAATTCAGCCATTTTATATGTTTTTTCTTTAGTCACTATCTGTCAAAATACTTCGAGGGGAGCAAACAAAAAACCTCAACAGAAAAAGATTGTTTTCACACAACTGTTACAGTAACAGCTAATGGAAATAATAGGGGCTTAATATGCACAGCAGCCTGTGATCAACAATACTTTGAACTCATCTATTTTTGTTGAAATATTGTTCAATTAAACTATTTTATTTTACAGAAAAAAACCTGCCAGGTCCATCCCAAAGGCAGGCAGGCAATGCAGTGCTCATTTGTGTATTTTAAAGAATTTCCCAGTCCGTCAAACCAAAGCTGCCTCTGTTCTTTCACTCAGCAGCGAAGCGTCAAAACATGGAAACCATAAGCAAACGCGATGTTAACCTCCATGATTTGAAGGTTACTCCACTTTTTGGAATACCACATCAATCCTCAGACACCTCCGGGCACCTGACTCACTCATGGGTGCCAGCACATCTCAACCAAGCAGCACATCTTGAGCAGTTCTCTCAACTGCGCTTAATTTCCAGCAGTGTTTATGTTGTTGCAGAAAACTCTTAAACAATAGCTGTAAATGGTGACCAGAAAAGAAAAAGACACAAAACTATACAATATGCTGCATATTAGCTTCATTTGCAAAAGATTTCTAAGCATTTCATGGGAAGAATATGTGGACAATTTGCAGAGTGAATCAGAACACAATGGGCCCACTTTTTGGGGGATCCCAGTAAGTCTCAGTAACCAAAGGACTCCTATCACCTTCTCTGTTCCTCTCCATAACGCACAGCATTTCACCCAGTTATTCTACATTCAGCCCAAAGTCTTTCCATTTTTAATTTGAAGACGGGAATCCACCACCTTGTTTTCCGATCTGTTTCACCCACAGCTAAAGCAAAACAGTAGAGAACAACTGAATGTGCAGAGGTGGGACTTTGAGCTATATTAGGAGGTAAATATTCTCCACATATATATACTATAGATACAGGCATTCAAGAGCAGGCACTACTATTCGTTAATCACCCACATATTTAAAAACGTGTAACTTATTTATAAATGTGCATTCGCCTGCCTTTCACTTTCAAGCACTTTCTTGTTAATGTTTTTTCCATCAAATTAAAACTTTAAATACCAACCACTTCCATCTTACGATGAGAGCTAGCAGTGGAAAGAGAAGAATTTGTACAAACTACGTATCTGCCCCAGGATATCACTGAAAAAGAGTAAGTTTTATCCTGAAATACAAAGTCAAACTTGGCCTGTCTTAAAATGAAATACATATTTGAGATGCTACACTTCCTATTTTATTTTACAGAAAAAAACCTGCCAGGTCCATCCCAAAGGCAGGCAGGCAATGCAGTGCTCATTTGTGTATTTTAAAGAATTTCCCAGTCCGTCAAACCAAAGCTGCCCCTGTTCTTTCACTCAGCAGCGAAGCGTCAAAACATGGAAACCATAAGCAAACGCGATGTTAACCTCCATGATTTGAAGGTTACTCCACTTTTTGGAATACCACATCAATCCTCAGACACCTCCGGGCACCTGACTCACTCATGGGTGCCAGCACATCTCAACCAAGCAGCACATCTTGAGCAGTTCTCTCAACTGCGCTTAATTTCCAGCAGTGTTTATGTTGTTGCAGAAAACTCTTAAACAATAGCTGTAAATGGTGACCAGAAAAGAAAAAGACACAAAACTATACAATATGCTGCATATTAGCTTCATTTGCAAAAGATTTCTAAGCATTTCATGGGAAGAATATGTGGACAATTTGCAGAGTGAATCAGAACACAATGGGCCCACTTTTTGGGGGATCCCAGTAAGTCTCAGTAACCAAAGGACTCCTATCACCTTCTCTGTTCCTCTCCATAACGCACAGCATTTCACCCAGTTATTCTACATTCAGCCCAAAGTCTTTCCATTTTTAATTTGAAGACGGGAATCCACCACCTTGTTTTCCGATCTGTTTCACCCACAGCTAAAGCAAAACAGTAGAGAACAACTGAATGTGCAGAGGTGGGACTTTGAGCTATATTAGGAGGTAAATATTCTCCACATATATATACTATAGATACAGGCATTCAAGAGCAGGCACTACTATTCGTTAATCACCCACATATTTAAAAACGTGTAACTTATTTATAAATGTGCATTCGCCTGCCTTTCACTTTCAAGCACTTTCTTGTTAATGTTTTTTCCATCAAATTAAAACTTTAAATACCAACCACTTCCATCTTACGATGAGAGCTAGCAGTGGAAAGAGAAGAATTTGTACAAACTACGTATCTGCCCCAGGATATCACTGAAAAAGAGTAAGTTTTATCCTGAAATACAAAGTCAAACTTGGCCTGTCTTAAAATGAAATACATATTTGAGATGCTACACTTCCAAAAAAGAAGTTACCCAGACCCAGAAAGTTTAAACTCAGATAAAATATGCCATCAATGCAATTCAATCAAATTGCTTAATTATGAATGCAAAACAACAAACATACAAAGCTCATTAAAAAGCCACAGCCCATAGCTACTCCCCACGAGCAATGACAGCTTTTGTGGCTTACAAATTGTCAAGCATTTTGAATTCTTCTGCCACAGAAAATATTAATGGAAACCGTAATTAGAGAGCACTAGCATTAGATAACCCTGTGCAAAAATAATTCCCAGACTTACTGAGGAGTGTACAATGTAAACCACAACAGAACAATGTTTTAGGTTAGAAACAAAGATATACACCAGAACATATAGGAAAAGCCTTCTGGCCAGAAAGGGGTAGGTCAAAAATATAAACAGCTTATTCAAACGAAATTGAGACTAAAACATAAAATGAAAATAATTCTTAGCAGTTCTGGAAGG